CCCAGTCTCGTTTGGGCTCCAGATTCCTCTGGCAGTTTCCAGGAGACAGAAGGCCTCTGTGCATCCACATGGACGATTTCTGTGCACCTTTTCATGAATGTGCCATTTGCTGGCTCCCAGCTGAGCTGTCTTTGTGGGGCAGGCTATTCTGAATGTGGGAGTGCAGAGCTAACGTTTGCCTGGAGAGCTGCAGCCTGTCCTGAGCCAGAAAAGGCCACACGTGGGGCAGCCTTTTTCCAGAGGAGCTTTAGGTTTGTTCAGACAGAGGCAAACCCCAGTATCTGGCTCTATCACGCTGTAATAACAGATTCAAACCCTTGTCTCTACAGATGTTACATGAACACAGTGGCAGGACCTCCTCAGCATCCCCTGTTCTTCCCGATTTTAGGTGAAAAGCCCACCCAGAGCCTGTTGCAGCCTGCTGGATGCTTCACAGGCACAGATGCCTCTACACATTCCTCTACAATGTTATCCTTCCAGGATAAAACACTGGCACTGCCCGGGGAGGCTGGCTAACTGACATGCCAAGAGAGAAGCCATCTGCAAGGCTTGCTGCAGCAGAGCAACACAATACAAAGCCACGTATGCAAGGTTTGCATGGGAACTCAAAGCTCTTCCAGCTTCAAAGGACAATTTGCACCATTGCAGCACTCGTACATTAACAAAAAGACAACTCAACTCGATATTGCTTCAACTCCATGGGTTAGACAATTGTGAGAGAAGATCAAAGCCCAGTGAGAAAGGCATGGTTTAGCATCACTGCACACACAGCCCAGTGCCACGAGCAGGAGGTTCTGAAAAAACCACCACGTTGAGCCACAGAAAGAAAAAGCTGCAGAGAAGCCCTTCTTGCATCAACAGTGGTCGCACAGAGTCACCTGCTGCTGACATCCCTGCTCGTGGCCTTGAGCAGGCAGCTGGCAGTGAGGCCACAAGGCCAGCACTGGCCACTCTGGCACAGGGCTGTGGCCACCAGGACAGCAACGGGCTCCTGGTGCTCCTGGCAGGCTCCAGCCCTGCCAGCACCACACACTGTCACACTGTCACTCAGCACTGCCAGCGACTCCGAGCAATCCTGGCATGAAAAGGATGGGATGCAGCCAACTTTGCAACACAAAAAATTCACATTTCTGTCTATTTGCTATCATTGACTTTCACGCCCGAGGCTATTACAAGTACCAGTGTTTTTCTCTGCTTTAGTCAGTTTAATTTCTTACTTGGCATAACCTTATACTTAGTCATCCTACAGTGTCCCACGTATAGTCAACTGTCAGAAGTCGGTCAGTAAGAGGAAGAAAACACACTTAAAGGCAGTGACTGTGTGACTGTCATTGCACAAGGACCCACCTCAGGACGTGGGGAGCTGCACGGCAGTCAGGAGGGCTTTATTTTAATTATTTTAGAGATGGGTATGTGGAGTAGAACCCATTTTTCTTAATCCCTGGAAAGGCAAGAGGAGTTTATGGCACTGAAATGCACCCCTCACTGCAGTAACAGTGCCCTGCTTCAGCCAAAGCCCTGAAGCACCACCTGCTCTGCAGAGGGGAAACTGAGGCACGCAGCAGGCCAAGGGGAGCTGCACCTTCACCTGTTCCCTTAAGAAACCACCTGTGCACCACACGTGGGAACCACTTGGGGAAGGGGATTAAATGACACTTCATCCAGATCAGCAAGAATTGTCCTCTGAGGAAGGGCCCAGGTGACAACGAGCCCCAGGACTGTGGGTATAAACAGCAGGAAAGAAGTCTGGAATAAAAACAGGGCTGCCTTAAAACCACTCCCCACAGTAGGAGACAGCCAGGTCCCACTCACAGGGACCCACCACTCACTATCACCACGGATGGCACAAAACCAGAGCACGGAAAGGATTGTGTGCACTTGCAGAACAAGCAATCCCTTTAATTAAAACAGCACATCTACCAGCCAGCCACACACTGCTGGAAGCATTTTACAATTCCATGGTACTTGAATAACTTGTTTAGGAAATTTGCACTCGAGTTTCCAAGTTAATTTGCTACAAATACGATTATGGCAAATTACTCTACCAGTAAAAGGGCTATGAAAAAAAGACAAGACATCAAAAACTCTCCAAATGGAAGTCACTGAAGTAGCACTTACTAGGTGCTGGATGCCTACCTTGTGCTGCTGACCTAATAAAGTAATACCAAGTGGATTTTTTCTTTTTTAGCTTCTAGGGACTGTGCTGGAATACTCCTAATATTTTACTATGAGCAGGTAGGCTGAGACAACCTTAACTGGATGGACACTTCAGCAAGAATTCTGCCAACAACCAAGAACAGAACAACTTTTGCTATGAGTGCTCCTCCTGTCACAGACAACTCAAAACCAGCCGGTGCAGGAACTGAAGGTCCTGCAGAGCTTCATGTAAAGTCACACTCACTTTTCCCCCCTATTACTTGGCAAACGGAAAATAAAAGACAACTTTGGGTAGTTTCAGATTTTTGAGTCTAAGTGTGTGCAGCCTAGGGCAGATCACATAAAGCCAGGCTGGCCCTGTTTTCTTGCAATGGGGAACTTCGTTTTTCTTCCTGGTAGCCTGCAGGAGCATTGCAGCCCTTGCACAATCCACGTGCATGCATGTGTTTGCACCCAGACTGTGCTACAGCCCAGCCTTTTGTTGAGCAGTTCCCATGGCCATGTCAGCTGAAGAGCCCACCAGCTGGACACAGCAGGTGTCTGCTGTGCCTACAAGCCCAAGCAAAAAGGGGGGTTGATCTGCTTTAAATCCCATGTTGGAGTCTGCTCATTAATGAAGCAGCAGGCACACGGACTGTTTGCAGCAGTCAAGTCACAGGGGTCTGCACTCAAATGCAGGGAGTCAACACCTTGGAACAGTTTGGCCAAAGGTTTAACCAAGAGGGTGCCTCACCCATCCAGGGAAAGGCAAAGGACAGGGCCTCTGGAGAGATGACAGACAGGTCCAACCGGAATTATCATTGTAATTAATCATCTATGCTTGATGAAGAGATCTCGCTCTCTCCTGGCAAGTCATCACCTTCACTTCCCAGCCTGAGGGACAGACCCTCCCACAGCCACCACCAGGGTGTCACCCCGGGGAGCAGGACTCACCAGCCACCAGCCCAAGGTGTTTGGGTGGCACAGCCCACAGCCCCAGGCTCCTACCCACAGCCCCACACCCTCAGGATTCAGAGGGGAAGGGCTATATTTTATTTCAAGATAATGTCAGCAAAAGGAGAGGAGGTGAAGCCCCGGGAGCCGATGGAAGCCCAGGGGGTCCCAGCCCCCTCCCAGCTGTGCCCAGCAGCTGCTCAGCCAGGCCACCCCTGCCTGCTGCCCCAGCTGCACTCTCAATAAAACAGCACAAACCCACCCCCACGGCATTGCAGGCAAGAAATCTGGGATCTCTTCTGTCCCGGGGGGTTATCTGTGCTGTCCGGGTGGACTCAGCTTCCTTCTCCTTCTCCCCTTCCTCCTTCACCAACCTCACTCGGATGCATTTGCTGACCCAGCAAATCCCCCCATCCCTGCTCCCAGCAGGGTTTACAAACACCAAAAAGGGAAACAGTTTTGACCAACGGGATGAAGAAAAAGAAAAATATTTACAGTGACACCCAGGCTTGTTAAAATTGCTTTGGTTTTCATTTTGCTGTTTGGTTTGGTTGGTTTTTTTTTCCCTGGTCTGAGCAGAAATGTGGTGGTTTTTTTGCAGCACATTTTAGCTCACAGCCCTGTGACGTCTGCTGCTTCAGTCACACCAGCTTTTGTCTTGACTGTTTTCCAGATGGGCAAACACAGGCTATTCCAGCCATGGGCTTGATAACAAGGAAGCTCTGAATTATTCTTAACAAAAGGGCAGCAACTAAACCTATTGATACCAACTGAAAACCAACCAGCTGGCAAGGACACCAGACGCTCAGGTACCTGCTGTGCTGTCAGAACACCTCTCACCACATTTGAATGCACATTTATGAAAGCAGAGAAGACAGGAGAGGCAGCACAGGGAAAGGTATCTAGAGCTCTTGAAGCAAAACAAAGCAAAACAATCTGGGTGATTAAAGTGTTAAATGCTCATGGTTTCACATGGCACAGCCTGGCCCAGGTACCTCCCAGGGTGTCACTTCTGGGCAAGCGTTTCCCTGGAAGTCAACACCGAAATTGACATTTAATTGTCAAAGATGATCCTTGCTCCAAGAAAGAAAAACCAGCCACAACAACAAAGGAAGGGCTGGGGGCTGTTTCTGGGGAGCCCTGGCAGCAGGACACCCCGGGAGCGGGGCCGGTGAAGGGAGCACCTTCCCGGTTATTCTCCCGAAGGGAAGGCGGTGTCTGGGAGAGCCCCGGGGGGCTGACACAGCCCCGCTCGGCCGGACCTGGAGCCCGAGCGGTGCCCGGGCAGCTCCGGGAGCCCGGGCCGGGCGGGGAGCGGGTCCTGCCCGGTGCCTGTACC